GAGGCAGAGAGCTCCCCAGGTTAAGGGCCACAGGGCTGCCAATTGCCTTCATTTCCTAGAAAAGGAGTAATTGCATTTATTTTCTTAGTGCAATGCCACCCAGTGTTGACATTTCATTCAGTTGAACTGCATCTCTCTTCTCATGTGAGAATACTGCTTATCTGATGTGGTGTCCACGAGCAAAGTAAGAGCTGTTGGACCCATAGCTGGGTAAAAGGAGAAGTTGAACTCATTATAGTCACTCCTGATAGAATAAGGATTTATCCAACTTGAGCAGCAATGCAGGTGGAGGGGTTTGGATGGATGAGGATAGCACTTAAGAAGAAAACATCTTTCTTGACATTTCTTTTTGCAGTCCAAAGCCTACTCTCCCTCAGGCACAGGGTGGTAAGTGGGCAGTCTGTTTTGCTGTGAGTTTTAAAGCCTTTGGAAAAATCTACTGAGAACATCTTTCTCTTTCCCATTCCTCCCAAACCAGGTTTTCCACATTCAAGGTCTGTTTGTGCATAGAAGCCATGTATAACCCTGGCACATGTGAATTCTTTACAGAATGGAAATTTCTCCAGGTTAGGTGTTATTTCTGGTGCAGGCTCAATGGTATTTGCTGTTGGCTGACCACAGTTTCTTGGGGCCCAGTGCCGGGTGTAACAGTCACCAAGGTTTGACTGGATCCAAAGGGTTCTCTGGCCAACAGTGTTGCCACCATGAAAGTGTCAGGGAAGCTGCGATGTGGCTTAAATAGCTTATCTACCACAAAAGGTGGTAGATGTAGTCACTTTTAAGATGAGCTTTTCCATTGCTCCTGAGCTGCTCACCCCATATGACTATTTAATTCTGGTGCTTTTAGCCTTCCTCTCTGTCCTCGCCACATCTAGGGAGCTTTGAATCCTGTACTAGAGGCTCTACTGAGTACATAGAAAATCTAGATAACTAATTTAGGCTCCTCCCTTAAGTGCCTGAGTTTAAAAGGTGTAAATGCCTCTACTGTAGGCCAAGATAAGGGTTGAATTCTCTGGAACAGACTGTTGCAAGGTATCTCCTAAATGCCTGTTGATGATGGCTGCTTTTCCCTCAGGGAAGTCGATCAACTCTGAACTGGCTGTGCTGGAATGATTCATCCCATCCCATGTGTCTGGGACAAGGTAGAAAGACTAAATGGGTCAGGGAATTCAAGCTGGACTTCCAGGAAGTCATTCAACTGATAAACTACTGGGTAATTTTTGACAGGGACTTTTTACAAGGACATGTAGTGATAGGACAAGGGGAATGGTTTTAAACTGAAAGAGGGGAGATTTAAATTAGACATTAGGAAGAAATCTTTAGCTGTGAGGGTGCTGAGGTGCTGGCACAGGGTGCCCAGGGAACCTGTGGCTGCCCCATCCCTGGTAGTGTTCAAGGCCAGGTTGGACACAGGGGCTTGGAGCAACCTGGTCCAGTGGAAGGTGTCCCTGACCGTGGCCGGGGGTGGGGAGTCTGCCCGTGGCAGGGGTTGGAGCTGGAGGAGCTTTAAGGTCCCTTCCAACACAAACCATGCTATGATTGGCAATTCAGGATTGCTCAGATGCTTAAAAAGACCTCTGATTTTGTAGATGCTGCTTTGCTACTCAAAGCAAGAGAAGGAGCAGAGGGACAAATAGTGCACGTGTGTGCAAAGAGATAATGGTGGTGGTTTAGAGTGCACCTTGCAACTGGCAAAACGGAAACAGATGGCAAATATTTTACAGAGTGGAGTTATTCCACCCTGAAGGATGTTCAAAGTCACACAGGGAGAGTTCAGCCTGCAAATCCCATTATTGATGAACAGTTTTGAACAGTGTTTACTCCTACTGTGCTTGCTTATGGGTGCACAGGCACATAACCACACAGCTTTCAAAATGCCTTTCATGGGTGCAGCTGCTTTCATTAATCCCAAAATCGTTTTATAGTTTTGGTATGTGTCTTTCTCTGAAAGTAAAGGAATTGGTACCTTCTCCCCTCAGTTATTCTCTCTTGGATGCTTAAATGAAATGGCTTTTCTTCTCCAGCATTAATAAATTCACTATTGGAAATGAGAAGGGTGTTTTCAATTACATCTGCAGGTCTGAGCCTTCCACCAGGGTGACAGGTATCCTCAGGGAAAAATCAAGCAAATAATCCATCCCTCTGGCTGTATATTGAGAGGCTGAATGAGATGCGTTGTGTATGAGAGTATTATGGTACCCATATCTTCATGTCTAAGATATGACTGGTACTGCATTAATTCTTATAGTAGAAGTAAGGGGGAGCTCTTTATAAGCTACTCCAAAATGGCTGGTTTAGCTATTGTTATTACCTTATTTATATGCCTTTATTACCTCGTAACCATTCATACTGAGTAAAAACCTCACTGTGTCAGATGCTGTACAAATTAGGAACTTGGTTTTCCACAAACTGCTTACAATTGAAGTAGTGTTGTACATTTATTCTTGCACAGAGATGTCTCCATGTTAGCTGTTACCTCTTTAATTCTGCTCATTCCTCCCCAGCAAAGCAGTTCATGTTAAAACACAGCTGCATCAGTTCTGCTACAGTCTAACGGGTCGGTTGTGCACATGTGGAGGCCTGAGCTCTGCATGTAGGAAATTTAGGATGTGAAAAGCCGCTGGATAGTGGTAGTGTAACATAAAGAGCAGTGGAGGTAGGACTGAATTAGCCTGGTTCAACTGAAGTTTCAAGCGAGTGTTACTAAATGAGCAGTGGAGCAGCCTGTATATATGGAATATTGTACAGGCACAAATATTACATGAGCTGCACCCCTGATATGAGAACCTCTGTGATCCAAACCAGTGCTTTGGTTTGAGCAAGCAGGCCCTGACCTATAGCTACTAATAGTAGAAGCAGGTCCCTTATATTCAGTCCAGCCTTGTTTCCCACATGTATTGCACAAAACCAGCCTGTCCTGGCATGACCCCATTTTGGGTTAGAAGCAGTTCAGCTAACCAAGGCTAAACAGTTCCAGTTCCTTCCACCCGCTGTGACCCGCCAGTCTTGCTGAGTGGACAGAGAAGGACAGAGTTTGCCTCTGCAGGCGGGTTTAACTGTGCCAGCCTCACACAAGCATGCCCAGGCAGTGACTAGGTGTGCAAGATAGCAGGCCAATGTTAACTATACTGGATTTTTTATCTTGTTTGCACAGGCCCTTCATGCTTCTGCCACCACTGATGGAGTGGATGAGAGTGGCCATCACCTACGCTGAGCACCGGCGCAGTTTAACTGTGGACAGCGATGACATCAGGCAGACAGCCAGACTGCTCTTACCTGGACTGGACTGCGAGCCCCGGCAGCTGAAGTATGTGCTTTATAAGCAGCTAAAGTAATTGTAACTTTTTAGAAGATTCTTCTTACTCTGTTTCACAGGAGACAGACCTCAAAATACTGTACAGACAATACATGTTTAACCTTTTAGTCCTCCAAGAGAGAAAGGAAATTTGGCCAAACACTGCAGCTGTGGTAGAAAGACTTCTGTCTTGCCAAAAGTTATATAGGAAGAATGATACAGAGAAGGATTGAAATACAAGTATTGGGACTTTTATGCCTCAACCTTAATTCATAGAATCACAGAATGGTTTGGGTTGGAAAGGACCTTAAAATCATCTAGTTCCAACCCCTGCCATGGGCAGGGACACCTCACACCAGACCATGTAATTGCAAGATTGTTCTTTGCTTTTTGAAATAGCTTAATGAAAAATATCAGTACCTTTTAAAATCTTCCCCTCACATCTACATTGAACAGGGATTTATAATTAGCTTGGTTCATTAGCACATCATAGGTATTTTATTTAGGTTTGTAGCTGCTGTCATTAGCGCTGGTTTTATTATCAGGGTTACATCTTCAACTTTAGCACGAGGTAAGTTCTTGTTTCTTGTGTGAATTTTATGCCCTCTAAACCTTTGGGTTAAATGAGTGAGTGGAACACACTAATAACAATAACTAATACTTTTATCATGCTCTTAAGTCATGAAATGATCACCTGAAAAGATAAAAATACACCATTCTCTTAGAATTACTTTTCATGAACAACAAAAGCAACAAGAGGCTTTTAATCAGGAGTCCTGGATCTGGTTTTGTTGCTTTTTACCTTTGCTTTCTGGCAGCCAAAAAGTCTCTTGCTTTTCTCTACATCTCTGTCTCCCCATTTGTGAGTTGGAGGGTAGTACTTATTACCCACAAAGCCTGACGTGAAGCTGAATTAGCTGGTGAGTATGGTGGTGCAATTACATGACTGAACCTTTTATCAGCTGCTGCTGAGTGCTAGTCTCATTCTTAGCTCTCAGTTCCTGCCTTTCTCCTGAGACGTGGTACCTGACAGACTGAGAGTTCTGCCAGTCTGTAAAAGGAAAGTTAAACAAGGTGATCCTCAGCAGTTATTTCGACTCTTTGGCTCCAGACTGGAAGAGAGCAGCTGAACTTGGACTTATTCCTGGAAGACTTTTCTTCTCCCTTTTCCCTGCCAGTGTACGTGTGCTCTGTGTCAGTTGAAGCACAGGCTACTCTGGCTTATGTGTGGATGGTAGGTGCTAGTGTAGGCAACTTTATATGGGCTAAGCTAATTTTACAGATGTGCCTAATGCTTGCAAAACCTTTGGAATTCTTTGAGGAACAGCACTGCAGAAGACTAACCTGATCATGAGTGCTTCCAGTCAGCTCCATGGGTTTTCTTTCAGTCTCTCCTTTAGAAAGACTTCTGATTTCAAGACTAATCCAAACCTGGCACTTCAAAGGCATCCCGCTCTCTCTGCACTGTTTTTTCATGCACATTAACATACAAAGCACTTTTATAGATCATATGCCTTAAAATACAAACTAAAAAGAGGGCAGGGATTTGGGTCTTGGAGTTTGCTCCTGACATGAGCTAAAAGGAAACACTTAGTGACAGCCTTTATGAAAATGGGGGTCATCTCAGTAGCTTAAAACTGAAGCCATGATGACATATCTATGAAATGAAGCTCTCAATAGCAACCCAGGAAGTCCAAAATAATGTCAGCAGCAGGTACAAAGGTGTAAAATATCTCACGCTACGTGGGATATACAGGCATGAGATAATTCTGTTGCTGGGTGGTTATGGGTTAGCAGTACTGGCCCAGGGAAGGAGTATGTTAGAGGTTTCTATTCAGTTTGTTATTACAGAAAGAATGGCAATTCTGTAAGAAAACCAAGTTCCTTCACATCTTTTACCTTACCAAACTGTTCCTCCATAGGGATGTAGGCAGTGGGCATTCCCTGCAGGTGGAACAACCTCTGCTTTAAAGTAACACACATCATCTTTGTAGTAGAGGGCAAAAATCAAAGTTAAGCTTGACCAGGTTTTTGTTCTGAACCACCTTGCCTGAGTTTTATTTTCAGAGGTCTAAGGATGTGTTGTGTGATGTGTGATAAGAAAGAGAATGAAAGATTTAAACTAACAGAAAAAAACCATGAGGAGAGAGCAGTGCCCATTATATGATCCTTTAAAGCAGTCATTTGTATCCAGCCATTACAGCACATTCAGGGAAAAGGAAATCTTGGGACTGAAGCCATGTTTACCCCTGGCTTGCTGTGTGACACCAAGCAAACTGCAAGTTGCTTTTCCTCATGATGCACAGGCTAAAAGTCACATAATGATAGCTCCTTGCAGTGGTGATGCATCAGGAAGGGTATGTGGAAATCCCTGAAAGAGAAGTTGTGCAGAACAACAAAGTGCAACAAGGATAACCTGAAATTCAGACCTCTCATCTCTATTCTGTGACACCCACTGCTTGGACAACATAGTCTTCCACAACAACTGCTTGTGTTTTAGTGGATGACGCTGTCTAATATGATGCTCTTGGTTTATGTCTGTCAGACAGTTAATAAACGTCTTCGGTATTCACCTGTTACTAGTTAAATGATAATATAAGTGAGGAAATGTTAGGTTGCAGAGAACTGGGTTTCATTTCCTCCTACTTGAATATAAATGTAGGGATTTTAATATAAGTTGTTATCACACAGTGGGTTTTTTATTATTATCATTATTATCTCTTCACTGCAGGCCAAACTTCAATCACTCACTACTAGTAGTTACAGTTGTAGCTACTACTTATGAAACTTAAAGAGCACGCCAGGCTCCTGCTCCCTCTTCAAGCTATCTTTTCCCAACTAAGACCTCAGCCCTACCCCTCTCCCTGCTCTCTGGGCTCTGCCTCATGGATGTCTCCCCATTCACCTTCAGCTCTTCAGTTTATGCCCTGGGCATAGCTGGGTGTACATGGGAGCTGTGTTATGGGCAACTGCAGGAGTACAGGCTTTACTCTAGGAACCAGGAAAGAGTTTGGTCTCTTCTCTACAGGGTAACAACTCACACATGGAAAACCTGCTGTGGTTACAACTGCTGCACAGCAGTTGTGTGTATGTGAGCTCCCTCCTCGGCTCTTGTAGGATGCTTTATCTTTTATCATACTCTAAAAGAAAAAGAAATGCACCTCTTATATAGGAGCATCCTGTCAAGCTACCTCTGCACAACAGCAAGTGTACAGTGACTTCTGCATGGGCTGAGCCTGCAGATCCCCTGGGAACAAAGCTCAAATTATAACTTCAAAACCATTACGTAAGCTAGCCTCCTGGCAGCTCTACACCAAGGACTTACAACACCTTTTCACCAGGTGTCTCTGATAGCTCTGGGCAGCTCTTTTGTTCTGCTGTTCGCTCTTCAGGGCTCATGGGGGAATTGTCCTCCCACCACCCTTGCTCCAGCAGTGCCTGTAAATAGCACTGGGTGGAATCATGCCTGTTGGCAAAATAGAAACGATGTGCAAAGACAGGTACTTCCCTTCAGAAACTTACTTCCTGAGGTTCACTGGATTTCAAGTGAAGTAATTTTATTTCACTTTTCTTTTTCCTAAGATTATTCTTCTCCTTCTTACAGTACGAAGTCATTGCATCATTTTCTACATAATATTGTAGTGTTATGATCCTGTACTAATTACTTCAGTACAATAAGATTATTAATTTACTAGCCTAGCTCTAGGATTTATCTCTTTCTCACATTTAGCCTTTTACCTTACTGTCCTCTTGTGCTCTGTACTTTAAGTGCCCTAATCTCATATCTGGGTGCTTCAGAGATGTTGTTTTCTGTACTCAACTGCCTCAAAGGCACATTTTGTTTGCAGATGTATCTCCAAAAAGCTTGTGACTCCAAGACTGTCAATTTGCCTCCCTGCTGACTCTTCCCCAAACTGTACCCTGATGTAGTTCCTTTCTGAAAGCAGCTGCAGTGAGATGCTGGTTTCCCCTGTCCAATGTGACCGGTCACCAGGCTGTGGAGCGATCTTTGTTAACTCAGCATATTGTTCATAACATCTGCTCACCATTTGTTATCCACCATCAGTGCAAGTTCAGAAGCATTAAAGGCAGGACCAGCTGAATTAAAATGTGAATAAGATTCACCCTGAATCTTCTTCATGAAGCGATGAGTGTTCTACTTACCTGGCAGGCTGCACAGTTTCCAGAAGAGGTTGGCCTTGTTGAAGGAATCTCAGTTTTCAAAGGAGCTTGGCAGGCTGATATCTCACTCACTGAGAGTTTGCACAAGAGCCTGTGTTGAAAACCAGACAACTAGTAGAGAAGGCATTCCCCCCTGAAATAACATCAAAGGGATGACCATATCAATGCTCAGCTGAGATAGGAAACACCTCCAATTTGGCAATGTTTGTCAGTGGAGGAGATACTCTTCTAGGGTTGGAATTCAGTAGACTCTGAGCCGATAAGGAGAGGATTTACAGTAATCCCTGGGCTCCTTCCAAATGAGATAAAAGGTCCTTTGATAGTCATCTGAGGGATAAGAGTTTAATCGAGCCTCATAGAAATGTTACTTCCTTTTATTGAGGTGTTGGAAAAGAGCTGAGAATGTTCCACTACCTAAATTTGATTTTGATTTATCGTTTTTCTTAATTTTTTTTTTTCCCCCAGAAAAGAATAAGGATCATGATCTTCTTTCAGAAATCTCTTTTATTGCAAAGTAGTAGCTAGTCTGGTAGGCAGACAGCATCATTGTTTCACCCTAGACAGCTTATTAGATAAGCTTTCTCTCCACCTCTTTCTCCTCCTTTACAATATGTTCTTCTGTATGTTTGAGGGACTATCCTATAACAAGGAGGGAAATACAAATGTGATCTCCAAAATATATACAGCTCATTATTTAAAACAACTGGGGTTTTGGTGGGGGTTTTGTGAGAACAGCACTAAGGAAACCTGGTTGCTGCAGGTTTGCAGCCTGTCACACCAGTCCCACCACATTAACCTCACTGCTGCAATAAGCCTGGATGCTTGGTGCCTGGTCTGGTATGGGCACATTCCAGCATCCCCTTCCTGTTTTCCTGGATAAGATGTAGCAGAAGCAGGGCCTGGTGCAGAGCTACCCTTGTAGTGAGGGGCTGGGTGGAAAATATCCCTCTTGGCAAGGAATAAAGACTTTTCCTGCCTTTCCTTGGAGGAAAGCACCAAGGAGGCTTCTCTACTTGGCCACCTTTGTAATTATATTTTTTTCCAGTGCTTACATGAACTTACTGTCTCTAAGAACTAAAACTTCCATCTCCAACATGAGTGAAGTTAGCCAGAGGGAAGGCAATACAATAGGTAAACCCATGGAAATTCATAAGCCTGATTTCTGTAGGAGAAAGAAGAAATCCAGAAGTAATTTTGTCTTCCACAGACCTGAATGCTGCTTTAGTTCCTTCCGAAGACTGGATGCTAAGGCTGCTACTGAAAAATTCCAGCAGGATCTGGGTTTCCGAATGCTAAACTGTGGAAGGACAGATCTGATCAACCAAGCCATCGATGCACTGGGACCTGACGGGGTGAACACCATGGATGATCAGGTATGACATATAACCACACACACAGCTTCTGTGCATGAACAAATGGCATCTTCCTTTCCACGTGGCAAATCAATACACGGGGTCGGGTTAGTTGCCTCTCAAAGGCTTTTCTAACTCTAGCATGTGTCGTAGTCTGAAAATAACAATAAAATAACCCCCAAACTGCACCCACCCTCACACCACTCCCCAGAAGCCCATCAAAGCCCAGAGGGAATTGTTTATCAGCTGGAATGCAGGTCTGTTCCTTGGAGGGCCTGTCTCAGGCACTGACAGAAGACAGGTTAATACAGAGGCTGCGAATGGAAAGTCTGGTGGTGTCTTAATGCTAAGACAATGTCAAAACAAAGTGGGTTTTGCCAGTGACACTCTCTTCTAGTTCAACAGCCCAAATCCACTCTGGGTCAGTGATGAGTGACCAAAAGGTGTTACTGGCTGATGGCTTTCAGGCTGCCTGTGCAAAGTGAGTTATGTGTAGTAGAGTCTGACATACAACAGCACTGAGAACCCCAGTGGCACTGGTATCAGTGAGTAGTAGCTTTGTTGTAAGTCCATCATGCTGATGTGTTTGTTGTTTCATTTTCACCTGTTCCCTGCTCAGCTACACTGTACCATAGGGATTTGGTAGTCTGGGGAGTCCTTAGCTGCTTCTGCTTATGCTGTCAGTCCCATCAAGTAGCAGGAGAGTCTGTTCTCTGGGGCATCATTCAATGCATGGCATTAGCTTTTATTTTAAGGAAAAACCCAACCTCCCCCAAATAAACACTCGTTATAGCTGTCACATTTTTCATGTCACAGAAACAATAGGACATTTAGCAGTAGGAAGGGTTTATGTTCAAGTAGAGAGGTTTCCTCATAGACAGCATTTACTGCAGCAGCATTTCAGATCAAATTCTGAAGCTGGCACATCTTCCATGATGCTTTCCACCATCCTGCAATTTTAAAGTGTGACTGTGCACACAAATACAAGCAGAAACTACTGCACAAGTTATATCAAGGTATGTGGCTGCCTTATTTACACATTCAACATAAGAAGCTTTGTGGTCACAGAGGTGGGGTGTCACATCATAGGTGTGTTTGATAATGACTTTATTAAAATGACAGAGGTGGCAGGTTTATATTAGGAAGGTTGCCACTTACTTCCTGTATTTTTTTTCCCCCATAAGTTTTTGCAGTTCCTGTTTATGGCACCCTGAGGCTTTTTGTTCTCTTAAAGCATCTTATTTTTACATTGTGAGCCTTACTGACCTAGCACCAAAGACTCTGGTGCCAAGACCATCACTTCTCACTGCAGGATGTTTCTTACCTCTCTTCAGCCAACTGGGAGCTGTTGTCCTTCGTGTGCAAAAGACCCTGTATTCTGTAGGCAACTCATTGCAAAGTTCCAGGAGTTCCTGCTGTCACTTACTTACGCTCTCATTGTCATCCTATTGCTGTCATCCTCCAGCCAGTCCTACTGTGAACAGGGGGATCGTAGCGTGCTGGTGGCTCTGTGTTCTTTGCAGAACACTGCTCCCGTGTCTCAAAGCAGAGCTTTGGCACTGACCAAGAAGGACAAGACAGGCTCTTTCTGTCTCTGGAGACGTTGCTGCTCTGAAATTCTCCAGTGATTCTGCAGCAACCCATCTCTGTAGCTAAGCAAGTGTCCTCCGACAGAGTTAATCTAAACTCCCAGACTCTAGCAGTCAGCTGTGCCATGGCTGCAATATGAAACAAATTTGAGCAACCTGGTCTAGTGGAAGGCGTCCCTGCCCACAGCAGGAGGGTTGGAGTTAGATGATTTTCAAGGTTGCTTCCAACCCAAACCATTCTGATTCAAATCTGAACTTTGCAGTTAGCTTGTTTTGCCCTTCCTGCAAAGGAATAAGCCAAAGCCAGATGCCAAAACCTGGGAAAACTGGCTCAGGCATGGCAACAGAAAGCAGGTCTCTGTCTTCTTGTGGGACAGAACATTTAACACTGACACTTGGTAAGCTCAGTTGATATGCCTGGATTTGGTCATGGTGAGTCCTCTTGACACACTGCCCAGTCATCAGGCATCTCCGAGGCATCGCAGGCTGATGTGATCATCTCCCACCTGACAAGTGGGGTTGCAAATCCTACAACAGACAGAACTGCTGGACTAATTTAACCTGTAGGCTTCACATCCAGGTTCAGATTTGACCACCCCCATACTGTGAGCATGTCCATACCCACCGTGAGGTGGGTGTTCAGACCCACTTCTACAGGTGTGTGTATGGAGATGTTTTTAGAGGGAGAGAACGCATCTTCAGAAACTTGAGTTTGGAGCAGGGCCCTGATTCACTTCTAGTGGGGACCAGGCAGCACCCTGGTTTCACAGGGTTTGAGGTGTTCAGGAAAACAATCTCTTCTTCTCTTTCCATACTGAGGAACAAGCAGGGAATGCACAACTGATGTTAAAAATTAAAAGGGAGAAAAAGGAAAGGCAAAAGGAACGGAAGGAGAAAGGGAAGGGAAATCTATACAACCTCTAGTTTTAGAACTCTGACTGGGGCAGTAAATACAGGCTTGTGCCTGCAGGTCTGAGTTTAATTCTCAGTGAAGTTTATTTGTCTGTAATGAGCGTGAATCCTCCAAAGCCCCCCAAAAGCCAAACTCACCCATCCCTCCCTGCCCCCGATCTTTGCAATGTGTGTAACTGCCTCAAATGCAGGAAGCTTGGAATTGGGGCTGTTTGGAAAAGACATCTTTACAGATGCAGGATGAGACTCCTCTGTGTGAGATGTAATTCCATTTTCCCCTCTGAAGATGAAGCTGTTATTGCACAGTGAGCAGCAGAGATGCTGCCTGTGAAAAATTCAAACACTCACAATAATTAAGGGGGGGGGAAGCCATATGTGTGAGCAGGAATGGATTTTACCAGGCTATTTTCTTTCTGTCCTTGGCTACTTCTGGAATGAACTCCTTAAGTAAGGCTCATTGCTCTCATAATTCATCTCTGAGCCATCATGGTTTGATGGTTAAGTAGAGAGGGAGAGATTTATGGGATTGAAATGCTGAAATATTGTGGCAAATAGGATTTTAGCAGTGGGGATAAGTTGCCAAATAAATTCACCCTGTGTGTTTTTGTTGTTTTCTGCTCTCAGTTCATCTGGCTACAAATGATCTAAGAAATGATATTTCTTTCTGGCAGCCTTGAGAAAGCTCAAGAATTGTGGACAAAACAGGGCTGGGATTTCCAGTGATCCCTTTTGTATTCTCACGGGCCCCTGATGTTTTATCCTCATCACTTAGTACATTGTGCCCACTCTGCAGAGAAAGCAGCATATTTTGAACACATACATAAGCTGTCCCTACACACATGCACACCTGTACATTAAGGTCCAAACTGTACATTAAGATCCAAACTCACTATGTCTGTGACAGTGTCCCTGTTGACAGGTATAGAAAGATAACTTCTTCTTTATTCCTTCTGCTTTCTTCCTGAAGGGTATGACCCCACTAATGTACGCCTGTGCTGCTGGAGATGAAGCCATGGTCCAAATGCTTATAGATGCTGGAGCCAATTTAGATATACCAGTGAGTAACAGAGGACCCTCTCCCCAGAATTATTCATCTGTAAATAACAAGAGCAGTTAGGAAATCTCTCCTAGCAACTGAAGGCTTCCTTTATGGAAGCTTCCAAGCAAGACACTTCCTTTCAGAAACCACTGCTTCAGGGATTTGGGAGGGGGAAGAAAACCTTCAAAACCTCTTGGAGCACTCCATGGCTCCAATTATGATTGGCATTGGCAAGTCTAATAGGTATGGGGGGAGAAAAGGGGCTTCCCTCCTGAAAAAGCTGCCACTAGGAGAAACCAATAAGCCCATTAAAAAGGCCCAGGGGACTGGACGGAGTGACTGGTGCGAGCAGTGCTCTCTAAATGGCCTAAGTAACCATTCCCTGGGGTTGTCACTTCCAAAGGAGAAAGGCAGTTATGTACAAGCCTGAAGGTTATGGCAGACAGGCTGCAGTGGTTAAAAACTACCTGGTTCCTTCCTCCCAGGTTCCCAGTACCTCTCCTCGATACCCTTCAGTCCATCCTGACAGCCGGCACTGGACCGCTCTCACCTTTGCTGTGTTACACGGCCACATCTCTGTTGTGCAGGTAAGCAGAGGGAACCCCTAGGTTGGGAATCTTTACAGGAGATGCAGAGGGACTGCAGTGCAGCACCCTCGCTCTCAGGCTTCCCAAACACTGGTGCATCACAGGGTCCATGTGGGGTTTGGTGGAAGCCATCTAAAAACCAGTGGAAAACGGCATGTTTTGAAAACAAGGAGAATGCAACCAATGCTTTTCTTGGGAACTGTGAATTGAGGACACAATTCCTAGCAAGGCCTGAGTAACAAAACACTGTGTCCCCTTATTTTTCTTTGGTTTCAGTGTTGGTTTGAGGCTTACCACTTCCAGAGCAATGTACACAGTCATTTCTTTGGTATTAGATAAACTGGAGCTTCGCGTGGCATGGTTACAGGTCAACTGCTTGACCAGGATGCTTCTGACATTAGATGTTAATTAGTTTATACCTTGGCACATGCAAAAGTTCTGCTTTCTGCTCTAATGGCAGCAAATCAGCTGTAACTTCCTTTATAATCCTGCAGAATTGCATGAATGAGACTTAAGCTTTTGTGGGACTTGAACCTCTCGCATCGTCCCTGCTCCCTTTGCTGTGGAATTAATGTGAGGGGCAGGAGAATGGGGTGAACTCCTGGAAATCCCACCTGAGCTTCAAGAGGAATTCTGAACTGATCACAGCAGGTAGACAATTGCTGGTGAATTGAATTTACCTTCTGCTCAAAGGGGAAAAGATATAAGCAAAGTGAGGCTGCACACCCTCATTTTTTGTTGGTGTGCACTTGTAAATAACGACTAAGATTAGATTCCACCTGGAAAACTGCCAGAGCAGCCTCTGGGATGACAAAGGTTGAGCAGCCTGAATTTACATGTGAAGCAGGAGATGCAGCCAAGCATATCAAAGCTCCTGTTGGACTGCAGGACCCACAGTGCTCATTTCTTCAATTTTGGTTCAAACTTCTAAAGATTATAGGAGCTTTTTTCATTCAGCAGTTGTTATTCTAAGGGTAGATGTCAGCTTCTGCCAAAATCAGTGTGTAAAATTGCCTTTCCAATTGGAAACTTGCATGGAATAGCTGGCATCTCGGTAGAGAAACAAACCAGTTGTTCTCTGCTAAATGTTTTATAGTGAAATGTGACTGTATGTGCTACGTGTGCCAAGGCCAAGGTCATCACTAACTGGGGATGGCTGAAAACTGTGGCAGTGTTACAGGGATAGAGTCAGCTGGATTCCTACACCCAACAGAGGAACCTCTGCTGATGGTGATGCACACAGAATCCCAGCCTGGTTTGGGTTGGAAGGGAGCTTAAAGCTCATCCAGTTCCAATCCCCTGCCACGGGCAGGGACACCTTCCACTAGAGCAGGTTGCTCCAAGCCCCTGTGTCCAACCTGGCCTTGAACACTGCCAGGGATGGGGCAGCCACAGCTTCTCTGGGCACCCTGTGCCAGCGCCTCAGCACCCTCACAGTGAAGAACTTCTGCCTTACATCTAACCTAAATCTCCCGTTTAAATTCGAACCCATCACCCCTTGTTCTATCACTACATCCATGCTCTGGGTGACCTGGTGCTGTCTGCCAGCCCTGCCTGGCCAGAGAAAGTCCCCATCATCTTCTCCTTTCATCTGGGTGGGGGTGATCTCCCTTGCCAGCAGTTCAGTGTGTTCACTGAAAGCAGGTTCTGTGTGGCAGGTCACTGCAGCTGCTGGGGCCTCCTTACACAGGCTCTGCTGGGCCAGAGAGACCAAGAGGCATGTTTGGCCTCCAGGGCTAATTCCCTGGAGGAACCGTTTCCTGCACACAACATGAAACTAAATAAGGTGGACTTCCTGCACTGAAGAGAAGTTCTGCTTGCAGAGCTCTTCGGAGTTGGGCAGTTACAATTGCAAAACCATGATCATAAAGGAGATATAAAACAAAACCAAGGAGGTGATGTTCTCCAGGCTGCCAGCTGAGCACCTCTCCAGCATAAACTCAATATTGAAAGCATGGTAAAGCACGGGGAAAGAAGAAAACTCTAAATTGACATTCATGTGGAGTCTTTAGCCCTGGGCTGAGCAAGGAAATGCAAGAGAAACTTGCCTTGTAACAGATATTTTGCTTTAGCCTTTCAGCTGGTGCCGTTGTGTGCAGGCACACTTCCCTGTGAATCTGCTGGTTTGCTCTTTTACACACAGCCTCTTCTGTTTTGTCCAGCTGAATCGCTCTTTTCTCAACTCTCTCTCTTTCATGTGTGTGTTGCAGCTGCTCTTGGATGCTGGTGCCCATGTCGAGGGCTCCGCTGTCAACAGTGAAGACAACTATGCTGAGACTCCTCTTCAGCTGGCTTCAGCAGCAGGTAAGCTCCATGCAGCCTCCACGTGCTCCGTCTCTTTGCTACCACAGAATAACCACAACCAGTACATGTGTGGGTCTGTAACACACATTAGGAGTCACTTTGCACTGCATTTAAGCTACTGTGGGTACAGTAAAGATACCAAACAGGTAGCACAGTGAGTTGGCTACTAAAAAGGCAGCATTTTATTCATTTCTGAAACAGCAGTAGGAACCCATTTGGGTTGGCAGCAACTAACAGCCGTTGGCATGTAGCAGCAGCTTAATGGGCACTGAGTGCCTGCTTTTGCTCCTGGTCCCAACACTTACCCCTGCCAGCAGCCGCCCCAGTATAGCTGAGCACAGGGCAGCGACTCCTTTGCACAGGGCACTGTCAAGGAACATAATCCAGCTACTGTCTGGTCCAGGCATGTTGTGGATCTAAATAACTTCCAGATGCAAAAATTAACACATTTCAATTCAGCCTGAAGAAAAATAACTGCTGTATAAAGATTTTTTTTTCATTAATTTATTAAAGACAAGTAAAATCCTACATTTCTTCTACCTGTCATCAGAAGAGTTTAGCATTCTGTAAGCAAGTCTGTGCTAGCCTAAAATACCTGTTGGTTTTCAACACTTTTCACCTCTGTTTCTCTTCTTTCCATTAATTTCTTTTTGCTCCGTATCTGTGTGTTTATGAAGACAAGTCTCTGGCTTGCTCTGCTCCAAGATTTATTGAAGAGACACAAAGTGGCCTTCCCCCCTCACCCCATGACACTTACTCATTGTCCTGTGTGAGCTGCCACCACTCACTGCTACATCTAATGAAAAGGGTGGAAAGGAGACCTGGCTGAACGTGGCCTGCACCAATATATGTGGCTGCAGGGTGGTTTTATGAAGCTGTGGCCGGGAAGTGCAGCAAACAGCAGCTCCCTTCTGGCCTTCTCTGTCAACCTCATCCACCAGCCAAACAGCTCTAATCTAGCTGCACGGGTTGCATACAACTCTGCTGGTGTGTACTGAGAGCACCAAACCACTTTAATTCCCTTTTCATTCTGCCTCTAGTTGTGCCTTCTCAAGTAATTTAAGTGCTTTGTGACTCAGTTTCTCTCTCTAGGTGTTAAGGAGCCTAATCCATGCTTGCAGGATGCTCTGAAAGCCTCAGCTGGTAGCACAGAAGTTGCTGGTACAAGTGTCTGTTACCAGTCCTATGTTATATGCTTTCAAAGAAGTTACAGACATGGAATCATTATGTTTTACCAATTTTTCCTAGGGAACTACGAGCTGGTCAGCTTGTTGCTAAGTAGAGGAGCTGATCCACTCCTGAGCATGCTGGAAGTCAATGGTATGTCATCATCACTGCATGAAGATATGAACTGCTTCAGTCACTCAGCTGCACACGGGCACAGGTAAAGCTCTGACCATGCTCAGAACAGGTTTTGATTTCCTGAGG